ACAAGGTTACTTGGAAATGTCTACAGACTGGCGGACTCCATGTATCCGCTGATAAAATACAGACTATTTCTCCCTTTAAAATTCTGGGAACCATGCTTTCTTTGGAAGGAGTAAGTCCTTTAAAACCACAACTGGCTGTCAAGCCCATCGTAACCCTGACAGAGCTACAAAAATTATTAGGAGAAATTAATTGGCTACGAGCCTGGATGCCTATTCCCACTGAGACTTTAAGTCCACTGTTTCAGTTGCTAGTAGGCAAACAGCCTTCAGAACTAATTCACCTTGCTCCTTAACACCTGGACATCTTATATGAGGTCCAGGATGCCCTGGACCGAGCCCAACTTGCCCAGTACATGCCTAGTAAAGATCTTGAGTTATGGGTGCTCCCTGGTGAGACCCTGATGACATCCGTCCTTACACAGGATGGGAAGCCCCTTCAATGGGTACATGCCTCTCTTGGAGGAATACCATGGGTTTATACACCCATGGATCAATTAGCTGACCTGATTGAGAAAGGGCATGATGTAGCTCTGAGACATTATGGCATAAACCCTCTTAAAATTGTTATCCCTTATCGGCTTAGGGATTTTGAATGGCTCTGCAGAAATAATAACCAAGTGGCCATAGCCTTGGAAGGGTTCCTGGGAAATTTGGACTGTCATTATGGCCCTCATAAATGGGTGACCTCCTTTCATGCCCTCTGTTGTGATGCCCCCTGGCTCTTTGTCAAGGAGCTATTAGTAAAAGCCTATAATGTTTTCACTGACGGGGGCAGATTTGGAGCTGCAGTGATAGTATACCCAGGGGCAGATGAGAAACCAAAAAGATATGTCCACACTTGTGATGGCTCAGCTCAATTCAAGGAACTCATGGCCATTGCTTTAGCATTAACAAAGATAAGTGAGCCCATGAATTTGTTTTCTGACAGTCTGTATGTAGTCAATATTCTTCCAGGGCTATTAGGTTCTCATATCCAGTTGGATGGGAACCCCATTACTCCCTTGATGATTCAGACTCGTACGCTCCTTAGAGAGAGAGAAGCCCCTATCTTCTTACAGCATCTTGGGGACACCAAGGATTGCCTGGGCTTTTATCCCAAGGCAATGCAAAGGCAGACAAAGTGGCTTCCATCCAGGTCCTGTCAGCAGGCCTGAATGAAGCCCAGGGGTTACATAACCTCACTCATGTAAATTGGCGGGGACTCCATAAGTGGTTTCCTCAAGTTCCCATCAAGGATCTAAAGAAGATTGTACGTACCTGTAAGTCTTGTCAACCCTTTCTACAGGTACCGCCTCTACAACAGCCAGGGGTAAACCCCAGGGGACTCGATCCCAATTCCTTATGGCAAACAGATGTCACACACTATGCTCCTTTTGGAAAGCTTAAGTATATTTTTGTATCCATTGACACATTCTCACATGCCTGTTGGGCTACTGCTCATACAGGAGAGAAGTCTAAACATGCTCAGTCTCATTTTCTCCAGTGCTTTGCTATGTTGGGATTGCCCCAAAGAATTAAAACTGATAATGGACCATGTTTTGTGAGTAAAAATTTACAAGGAGTAAAAATTTAATTTCTTTTCACTTTGGGGAATTCAACACAATACAGGAATTCCCTACAATCCCCAAAGTCAAGCCATTATAGAATGCAACCATCAAAACCTAAACATTCAATTACAAAAACAAAAAAGGGGGAATAGGCCCCCACCAGCAGTTAGGTATGGCCTTATGCACTATTAATATTCTTAATTTTCCAAAAAATCAGTTGGAATCCTGGTTTCAGAAGCATTGGGGATGACAAGAGCAGAGACCTGAGGTACTGGTAAGATGGAAAGACCCCATCACCAGGCAATGGAAAGACCAGATCCATTGCTAACCATGGGTCAAGGCTTTGGGTGTGTCTACCCTACAGGAGATTCAAACCCCATATGGGTGCCTGTGAAAAGCCTTAAGTGGGTAGGCCAGGATCCGACTGACTAGCATGATGGTCCATGGACAATAGTTCATGAGAAAAAATTCCTCTATTTGTATCCATCTGAAGTGAAGGACCCAGTTCCTTGACTTCATTACAGCCTCTTTTCGACAACTGGCTGATTGGCTAACAGGTACATGGTCTCAGAAGTATTTCAACTTGTCCTATGCCATGACTTGCTTTGTTTCTCTTGATAATGCTTATCTTTTTTTTTTTGACAGAGGACCCTTGGAACTGCCACAGCCCACCTC